CTCATTCTGCGGGCCTGGGTGGGGACTGAGATTTTGCACGGCTGACAAGTTCCAAGTGGTGCCGATGGTGCTGGGGGAGGATCACACTTTGAGACCCAGTGCTCTAGACCATCTGTCTCCCGAATGGCTCTCCTGATGGTGCCCCAAAGCTCGGACCAAGGGCAATTTGCAGAGTCCCCAAGTGCCTGTCTAGGCACCCTCTCCTTTGAGGGAGTGGGGTGTGGCTGAAAGAACCACAAAGGGCAGTGTCGTGTCTTGTTCATCTTTGCAACAATTTGCCAAGCAGCTTCCATATTTGCTGACCCATGAAACCCACAGATATAAATGACACATCCCAATTTATAAGGAACCATTTTTGAAAAAAAAAAAAGGAACTTCCTTTTGTGATAACCGTACTTAAAGTATTTTACTTTGTTCAGGTCATCGGGTGTTATGTGCAAGAATATTTTAAAGAAAACTACCACTAGGATGTGAATAGGAGGTGAAACGATGATCTTCATTGCCATGTTTTCTGTTTCTATGCTTCACCGGTAGAGGTGGTTCCGCCCATCACTGGTGGATCTATCCACACAGACACAGATTTATATGTAGGTACAGATTTGGATACAGACGCAGGCGCAGATTTAGATGAAGATGCAGAGGTGAGGCCCCTAAGGAGAAAGGACATGCTCCCTCCTGCTCCTCCCCAAAACGTGGGTGTGGTGAGGGGGCCAATTTGGACACAAGATGGCAGACAACAAGGTAGAAGGGGCCTGGGTGCCCGGACAACCTCCTGGAGTAGGACCACTGCTCCAGTCCCGGACAGTCTACTCCTGGGTCATCACAGGAGAGAGAAGTAACCTCCACTCTGACATGGCTCCAGTAGATCACGCACACATGCCCCCCAGCAGGTGACAGGCTCCTTGAGGATAGGGACAAAGCCTCCGCCTTTCGTACCAGAGCTCCTAGAACATAGCCTAGCAAGTTTCAGTGTTGGTTCTGCCCTTCACTGGCTGGTGTCCTGGGGCAAATGACCTTCCTGGCTGTTTCCTCTTCTATAAAACGGGACTGAGAAACGTTCTCACAAGATTGTCGTCAAGCTTAGTGAGATGCTATGTGTAATGCACTTAGCCCTGTGCTGGCACATAATGGGAGCTAAATCACTGGTGGTTATTATCAGCTATTAGTTTTCAGAAATCTGATCCTGTCCCCTCCCACCCTGTTTTATACCATTGTTCCCCATTTCCCGTGAAATAAAGTCTAAATTCGCTACCATGACTCATAAGACCCTCTATGCACCAATTCTGCCCACCTCCCTGGTCTCATCACTTATACTTGGGACAATGCAGCCGGACAGAGCTGCTCTGGCCTCCCCTGGTCCTACTCTGGTCCAGGGAGCTGTCCTAAGGTCAGAGTGAAAGGCAAGCAATGTGCTAAGTCCAAATGACACTTGAAAATCTTTTAACCTGCCCAAAGGTACAGAGCCCAGTACCTACCACCTCTCAGTAAATGCAGAACGGTTTCCCTCCAGTGCAGAAACAAGTGGCTGTTATCTTCAGCTCAGCATCAGAGTAGCTGCCTCGTGTCTAGGGGCCTCACTGGATCAAAAATACGTGTCTGTAGTCACTGAAGTCACATTCAGAACGAAACGTTCACGCGGTGCTTCTTTACAGGCGGTCCTGTGACATGCACTGTTCTACCTCTGAGCCTTCACACATGCTGTTCCTTCCACTCCCAAATTCCTTTCCTGCTTCCTCCTCCACTTGGCCTGGCCAATCCTTATTCCTCTATGAGGTCTCCGTGCAGGTGCTACTTCCCGGAAGAAATATCCCTAACTACCTGCAGCCCCATGCCCCGCCCCCAAAACTTAGTCCCCTAAAACTCCCCTGCCCTGTGCAGCAGGCCTCCCACTGTACATATCAGTGCAGGCCGCCCATTGGATTTTACTACCCAGTCCTTCCTTCTTTCTTATTCATAATGCTCAGTCGCCAGCGCCTACCACGCACAGAACTAGGTGCACAGAAGTGCCCAGTCAATGCCTACGATGAATGGGCCCGCGAGTGAGTGCTGGAAAAGGTCAGGAATGCCTCTGCTTCCATCATCTGGCATCCTGGGGAGGGCAGGAAGGGGACAGGGGCCACTGTGGGGGCCTCTCCTTCCCCATCGTCCTTCCAGACCCTTTCCCTGCCCAACAGGGCGCCACTGGCCTGTCCCACACCCTCTCTGCCGCCTGCCCAGTGACCTAATTATTGTTTTTTCTTCCAGCCCCGCGGAGGGGAAAACAGAAATTCCTGGTGGATGACACAGGCCCGGCGGCCGCCTGAGAGCCGAGCACGGGACCGGCTGGGCCGGCTTCGCCCGCCCTGAACCCGCCGCCCGCCCCGCCATTAGGGCCGCGGGAACCCGTCATCAGGCTAAGTACAGAGCGGGCGGCGGGGCGGGCGGCCGGGAAATTGCCGGTTCCCGCTGACCCGCGGGGCCTGCGGGCGCCCCGAGTCTGGGGGCTCGGGGCGGGCGGGCCGGGGGCTAGGGGAACCTGGGGGGTCACGAGCCGCCCGCGGCCCGTTCTCCTGTCATTACTCCGGGGCAGCCTTGCTGGGCAGGGGGCGGGGGGCGGGGGGCGGGGGGAAGGGTGGGGGGCGGTGCCAGGCGGGGGCGGGGGTGGGGCTGGAGGAATTCGGAGCGGCTCGGCCCGGGGTGTGGCTTGTGAGGCTCCGGGCCAGAGCCTGGTGGCCACACCTCGGGACAACCCCCTGCGAGGGCTCTGGGGGCCGCAGGCATCCCTCCCCTTTTCTGGGCCCTGCCCCCACTCTTAGAAGGAACACTGGGCTTGGAGACAGACCGCCAAGGGGTCAAAGGCCCCAATCCTGGTGGACTGCTTATTCTGCCACTCCCCCTCTGGGGGTCTTTGATGCTGGAGGGAGCCCCAGTTCCCCCATCCATGAAATGGGTTAACAACAGCTACGGAAGAAATGAGATGTGGGCGGGTCAGTCCTCTCCCCCACGCCTTGCAGATAATAGATGCTCCATTTTCTTTCACTTATTAGGGGAAAAGGCACCCAATCATGCATGCCTTCCACAGCGAATATTGATTGCACAGCTACTACGTGCCCTGCCCCGTGTTAGGCCTTCGGGTTATAGTGATAAGTAAGACAGATAAAATCTCACATTCTTAGGGGAGATAAACAATAAAGAAATAAATAGACACGGCAGACAAGATAGTGCTTCAGAGGGTGATAGGTGTCATGGTGTAAAGGGAAGAGGCACGATGGGAGTTGGAGGGGTTGTTCTATTTTAGGCTCAGTGGTCCTAGAAAGAAAGTCTTCATGGTCAAATGCCCTTTGACCTGAGACCTGAGTGAAGTGTGGCAGTGAGCAAGGCAATTAATTATCTAGGGGAAGCCTCTTTGGATAAAGCACACAGCAGGTGCAAAGGCCCTGGCTCCTCGCCCCCACCCCTTGCCAGCAGAAGGTAGTGTCTCAGGCTTCTGGGCTCCTGAAGGACAAGACTGCTCCTTTCCTGCACCCGTCGGCATCTCTGGAGTCAGACAGACCTGAGGTTAAATTCTGGCCCTGTTACTCACTGGCTGTGTGAGTAACAGTCACCTTGCACGAGTCACTCAATCTTTCCGAGTGCTACATGTCATAAACCCAGAAGGCGTGGCCAAAAGAATGGTCTGTGGGATCCCTGAGAAGACCCCAGGGATGGGTGGATGGGTCTCCTTCTGAATTGGTGTGAAAAGCGGACTTACCCTTGCCCCGTCTTGGTGTCACGGGCAGACAAGTAGTAGAACAGTGAGCAGCTTGGACAGACTCTGGGCGATGGTTCCCAGCTAGCAGTCTGATGTTGGTAACCTGCATCTCAGAGCCCCGCGTATAGAAAGAGAAGCAGTGGATCACAGCTCCCCATCCACCTGCCTGGACGGCCCAAGCCTCAGCCCAGGCAATCAGTGAGGCTCAGAGAGGAAACGTCCAGCAAGCCCCCGTCAGGGCAAAGCTGTAACATTGGCAAATTTCATATTTCATGTTCTCTTATCTCTTCTCTCGGTTCTGTCTCCTTGCCTTCCCGGATAAATTTTCTCCTCCTTGGGAAAGGACAGGGGGTCAGCCACTTTACTCACACCCGAGGGAGGATTTCAGTCCTCAGAGATACTTCTGACATGCTACCTCATTTGACACATGGGGAATCTGAAGCCCAGAGAGGGCAGAATTTGGCCAGAAACACACAGCAGTCCTGGGATATGAGAATTCACGGCAGCGACCTCTGATCGAGGGCTGTTTCTTCACTGTACTTCACGGCCAACTTCCGCCCATCTTATAGAAGGAAGAAACTGAGGCCCAGAGCCATAACATGAATCAGCAAAGGCTTTCCAGGCCAGCAGGTAGCAGTGGGGAATGAAGAATGTCTTCTAGACAAGGGTTGTGGGGGATATAGGGACCTTTCTGGATCCTTCGTATCATTCCCATCCCCACCTGTTTTAAAGATGATCCCTGAGCCCCCACAATGAAAAAGGCATTTGAGGAGGTCCGTGGCCATTGGAACCTGCTCCTCACCCAAGGATCCTAAATTCCCCTTATCCTGCAGGGCCCTCCCAGAAGGTGCCCAGATGCACACTGTTGTTGGCCTCGTCCGTCTGGCTCGCGTGAGAACTTGCTTTGACGGTTGGGCCGTGGCAGTGTCTGGAGGTCACCACGATCGGACTGGGTTCTGCCTCACCCTGCTCAGGGGTTCTTGACCAATGCCCTGTTGGGAGCCTTATTTCAGAACTTGCACATCAGCCTCTGCATCTGCACCCACAATACCCTCTCGGCCTGCGATTTTTGCCACTAGCTGCTCCACTAGTGGCTTCTCATTCATTCATTCATTCATTCACTAAGTATTTCCAGAGAGCCTTTTGGGTGCCGGGACTGCTCAGCACATTGAAGGTAGAGCAGAAAACAAGGTGGTGAGGCCTGGCTCTCTCATAGAGCTCACATTCTATGATGGAAGGCAGGCCCAAAAAAGCAAATATACACAAGCTGTTAGGTCAGATGGGAGTTAAGATAGAGTTTAAAAAAGGGGACAGCCTGCGATGGGGGCGCTCTCTTAGGTTGGGTGACTGAGCAGAGACCACAACCAAGGGGGGGCTGCGCCATGTGGTCGTCCGGTTCTGAAAGAGGGAGCTGAGGTGGAAAGGCCGCGAAGCAGGGTATGCTTGGCATTTTCAGGAAAGAGCAAGGAATACCATGCGGCTGAGTGATGGGGAGGGAGAGGGAGGCAATGAGACTGGGGAGCAGAGGGGGTGGGCTGTGGCTGCCTTTGTGACTCCACAGTCGCCCCACTTATTCTGTGTCTGCCTCGGGGTGGAGCTGTGCCCTCCGAAGACAGCCTGGACATCCCCAGCAGCCATTTACAAAGTAGCCCATCAGAGTCACCCCTTTCTCTCCCCTTCTATTTGGTTCCCTCCACCCTGGCACCTCCTTTACCTGTTCTAGAAAGCAGAACTGGAAAGATTGGCAGGCACGCTGACCTCTCCTGAAAAAGAATTTGGAGTCAGAACAACCCCCGGATTCCAGACCAGTCCTCACTACTTGGTAATTGCACGAGCTTGGATCAGCTGCTTAAATTCTCTGAACCTCCGTCTCCCCATCTGTAAAATGGGACTCCATCTACCTACCGCCTAAATAGCTGTGACAACAAGTATATGCCCACCCTCTGACCTAGCAGGCACACTCCTAGGCACATAGCCAAGGGAAATAAACGCGCGTGTCCTAAAGGCACTAGGAGTTCCTAGGGGGTTGGTCACAATAGCCCCAAAGGGAATCAGCCCCAATGTCCCTCCGTAGAAGAGTGGCTGGAAAAGGTATGGTATCATTGTGCCCTGGCACATCCCACAACAACAATGTAAACCATCGATAGATGCCACAACGTGGATGAATCTGGCGTTTCGTTGGGTGAAAGAAGCCAGGCGCAAAGAACGAGTACATGTTATTCCGTTAGTAAGTTCAGGAACAGGCGGAGCCAATCTTCAGTGAGAGAGGCTGGATGGCAGTTACCCGTGCGGGACGCTGACTGCAAGGGAGCTTCAGGGAAACTTCTAGCATGGTGGAAGTGCTTTGCATCATGATCTGGTTGGTGTCACACAGGTTTATGCATATGTAAAAGGTCATTGAACTCGGGTTCCATGAAGAATTTGAGGTCGGTGTGCATGGTGCTATATGTATATTCTATTTCAATAAAAAGGTAAAAAGAAAAAAAGTCCTATACCGCCTAGAGAGCTGGTGAAGAGCAAGAGAGCGAGAATGTAGTCATGCCTGTCTCAGGATAGGCGCCGGGGAACATTCCCTACTTCCCCAGTGCTTTCTTCAGGACAAGGAATGCCCTCTGGTGCCCAGGTCCCTGCCTCGTCTGTCCTAACAGGGACCAAACGTCCCTTAGGGCCGGATGATGCTGTGGGGGACAGCTGAGAAACAGAATGGGATTGCAATTCTTTTTGCTTTTTGCCTTTTAGTTTGTTTTTTTCTGTTGCTTTGCTTCACGACGAGAAAATGATAGTCTTTATCATTATGGAATGTGGCAACTAGCTGCAGGTCAGGTCCCCAGGTTTATTGTGTGGTAGAGACTCGGAGTGAGAAATGCTCAGCTTTCCAGGCCTGGAGCCTGTGACACAGCATTGAGAGCTACCCCCTCCCTTTGAGATGAGCAAGAGTCCCCAGAGCATGGCATGAGGACCCCAGGGCCACCCTGCAAGGTAGCGGCAGGGCCCCAGCCCCCTATATCCCATTCACCCACATCCAAGTGCCCCCAGGATCAACTGGCTGGGGACGGCTACCCCACTTCCACCCTTCCACCCTGCGCCAAGCCCAGAGAGGGCAGTTGACTTCTCCAAAGCCACACAGGAAGTCTGCAGCCGAGCCAGGCAAGCAGAGACAAGGACAGGAGGCTGAATGCCTGGGCCACCTGCGCCACCAGCCAAGCTTCCCTCTCATGCTCATGGGGACTGGGCTCCTCCTGAGCAAAAGCTAGGAGTGGCCTCCTGTGTGGCCTCCTGCTCTGAAGAGGAAGGACTCCGTATTAATAATGGGGAAGTACTTTTGTTATCAGCTTGGCATGGAGTGGGTACTGTGAACCCCATCTGCCGGGTACTGTGCCGGGTACTGTGAACCCCATCTCTGCCGGGTACTGTGAACCCCATCATCTGATCCTCCCCAGGGCAGGGCCTCCATAGGACTGGAGACTCCTTGCTCATGGGCGCCTCGGGTCTCCACTCTCCTGCCCTTCAACATCGAGTCTCACCTCAGGACCCCAATACCCCCAAGGCTGCCTAGGTGCCCCCTTATACACCTCCTACTCCAGGCCAGGCTCCTTTGTAGGCCTGGGGTGCAGGCCCACGTGGGTCAGCGTGGGGTGGATCTTCCTGTACCCTCTTTCTGGAAGCTCCTATGGTCACGAGCCATGTCTTTACTCCTGTGCCCCCTACACCCATCATACAGCCTGTCATAGAGTGGACTTTTGTGACATGAAAGAGATGACCCAGGATGTCATTTGAAGGGCTCTAGGAAGAGATTCCAGTGCCCCCCCCCAACCCCATCCCCCCTATATCCTCAGGAGCCACAGTCTGGAATTCCATCGAGAGAGTCACATTCCTTGACATTCTCTTCATGGGAATAAATCAGAGGATTAATTTATTCTGTTCTTGGGCCCAGAGGCCTTAGGAACTTTCAAGAGTCAGACTGAAGATATGAGTGGGGAGGGGTCTGCCAGCCTGTTCCTCAGCCTCTGGCAGGAAGGCTGAGACCCCAGAGAGGGGCTGACCTCTGGAGACAGGCTTGGGCTACAGGGGCCCTTGGGGCCGGCGGGAACAGCGGGGCCTGTCTGGGAGGAAGCCTCTGACAGACGCTTTATCAGGCCCTGTCGCCTGCGTTATCTGCGGCTTCTCAGCAAAGAAGGAGCCACAGTCCTCAGCTGTGCTCAGACCACTCCAGGCCTGGAACAAAGCAGCCGAGTCAGCTGGCGGCCCCATGGCTCCACAGGCCTGGCGGCCCCATGGGCTCCACAGGCCTGCGGCCCACGTGGGGCATTCAAGGGGGTGGCTGGCCCAGCCTGGCGACGGCTCGTCTGCTGGGACTCCCCCGCCGAGTGCCTGCCTCACAGGGACCACCTCCCTAGGGCCTTTCTGCAGAATGCGGATGGGGCACGGGGTCACCCCAGCCCCTCCAGGGCCCAGCTGAAATGTCAGCCACAAAGGACGGGACACAGAGGGGCCTGTCTGGGAACAAGGGCCAAGTGTTGGCGTGGGATGATGGCCGGGGCCGGGCTGGTCAAATGTTTACTTGGAATGGTTCAAGTGGGCACCCTCAGGCCATGGGGGCAGCTGGCGCCTGGCATGGGCCCCCTTTACCCACCCGCACGGGGTGCTGTGAGGATTCAGACCATCCCAGATGGGCCCAAATCCAAAAACACCCAGAGGGGCTGCCAGTCTAGACCTTGGCATGGTCATGGTCACTCCCTCCCAGTCCCTGCCCACTGCTGGGGAGAGAAGCTGGGAGGGGGGGTTCAGCCTCTGTCGTTCCAGAAGCACCTGCCTCTCTGGCCTCTGGTAAGACTGCCATGAACGGTTGGGCAGGTTGTGCACTACAAAAGGACACTTTGCCACTGAAGAAAGCAGACCTGAACTCCTCGCAACTGGCCAAGGGACTGCATCAGCCCAGAGGGCGCTTTTTTAGTGACTGCTAGGAGGGTCACCTCCTTTTGCGTGCTGGGCATTGGGGATGTTAAGATGATGATATAGTTCTTTTGTAGGAGCTCATTGACTGTTAAGGATGGGTTGCCTGATCTAAAACAGGATGTCCAGTTAAGCTTCAGTTTCAGATAAACAACAAATAAATTGTTTTAAGTACAATTATGTGCCATGCAATATTATAAAGTTTCACTATGGCGAGGGGTGGATGAGGTCTGGTCAAGTCAGACCTCCCCCGGACACTCCCAGCACATAGGGCCCTAAGGGTCATGGAGAAGACTGTGGGAGACTTGAAGACAGTCCACCACAGCTGGAGAAGAGCCTGAGAAGTAACACGGGGCAGATGGAGTGCCCAGTTGAGGGCTGGTACTTTGAGTGAGATGGGGCCACACTGGAGGGTTTGAGCTGGGGACTCTCACGGTGTGGCAGGCTCCCTCTGGTGGCCGTGTTGAGAATAGGCTGGAGGGGCACCGCGAAAAAGCGGGCTGACCTGTGAGGTTATCACAGCCATCCAGGCCAGGGTACCAGGGCAGTGAGCATCAAGTTGGAGACAAATGGCTGATTCTGGACATCTGAACTTTTTGTTATGGAAAACGTCAAAAGTGTACAAAAGTAAAGAGAGTAGTACAAGGAACTCCCATGTCCCCATCACCCTCTTCAAGCATCATTAGCTCATGGCCCATTTTGTTTCATGAAAAACCTTTCAGCCCTCCTGGCAAATGGATTCTTTCCAACCAAATTCCAGATATCATATTATCTCACCCATAAATATGTCAGTGTCACTGAAAGGTATTTTGAAGGTGGCTGCAGCCACCAGGAATTTACCCAAAGACTTCAAGTGGCTCTTTTTTTGTTGTTTTAATGTTTATTTCAGAGAGAGACAGAGCGCAAGTGGGGGAGGGCCAGAGAGAGAGAGACACACAGAATCTGAAGCAGGCTCCAGGCTCTGAGCTGTCAGCACAGAGCCCAACGCGGGGCTCGAACTCACCAACTGTGAGATCATGACCTGAGCCGAAGTCGGCCGCTTAATTCGACTGAGCCACCCAGGCGCCCCAAGCAGCTCTTTTAAGAGAGGAGGGCCCCTGACCCTATTGGGCCCATTGCTGTGCGGTCGGTTCCCTGATCTTAGGATGATTTCTCCTAAAGCTTTCTAGCTTTTCCTCCCCTGGGATGAGTCTTCTGAGGGTCTGTGCACTCTCCTAGCAGGATGCTCCTCAGGTTGGGGTCTTGGGACACTGGCCTTGACTTTCCATTAGAAGCTCCTGCTTTCTCCCAGACCTTACCACAGCTTGATACTTCCCCTTTTTTGTTCCCTTGATGACAGGACTGTCCGGTGTCTGGCATAAAGGCTCCCCAGGTCCTCAAAGACACTACTCCCTGGGAACTCAGGAAATGCAGGCGCTGTAGGCGAAGGTAAGGGAAACATACTGGAAGTCCTAGAATGAGGTTCAAGGACACGACGCAGACACCAAATCCCTAATAAGTGCAAGGACGCTCTTTGCTTTCCAGAATGCCACCCCCTCCAGGAAGCAGCCTGGCTCTGCCTCCAGTTTCCTGGGAGACTTTGGTTAGGTCCCTTCCCCTCCCTGGCCTGGAGAAAGGAACTAATTCATTATGTAAGGCTTCTACCTTCTCCCCACTCTCAGATTCTGTACCCCCAAAGTCTCCCTGCAGTGGGAGGCACTGTGGGGGGGGGGGGGCAAAGCTGGACTTGGGGAGAGGCTGCTGGGGACATGCTAACTACTGACCCAGCTGCAGACACACATTGAACCCTGTGAGACAGGCATAGTATCGCCCACTTTATGGAAGAGGAAAGCGAGGTATAGAGAAAACCACTTGACTAGGGTCCCCTAGTTTGTAGGAAGCATAACCAGGCCAATGCCAAGCACTGGTGCCCATGGTTTTTGAGCACTGCCCCAACCCGGGGTTGAGGCCCAACTCTGCCAACATAATCCAGACTGTAGTCAGTCTGCTCTCTCAGAGTCCCCCCAAAGCCTGGAGCTCCTGGCAGCTTCCCCACCATGGGACCCAGAGGCCAGCTCACCTTCCTGTCCTTCAAGTAGCCTTTTTTTGTTGTTTTAATGTTTATTTCAGAGAGAGACAGAGCGCAAGTGGGGGAGGGCCAGAGAGAGAGAGAGACACAGAATCTGAAGCAGGCTCCAGGCTCTGAGCTGTCAGCACAGAGCCCAACGCGGGGCTCAAACTCACCAACTGTGAGATCATGACCTGAGCCGAAGTCGGCCGCTTAATTCGACTGAGCCACCCAGGCGCCCCAAGCAGCTCTTTTAAGAGAGGAGGGCCCCTGACCCTATTGGGTCTCACCGAGGTCTCACTGAGCCCTCCCAAGGCCTGTGCTTGGGGGGTATCAGACACATCAACAAATTTCTCTCCTTGAATCCTCAGCAACAGTGTGAGGTGCTGTGCCCATTTTGCAGATGTGGAAACTGGTACTCGTGACCTACCCAAGGCCACACAGCCCTGCAGTAGTGCAGACAGAATTGAAATGAGAGTTCTCTGAACCCGAGTGCCCCTTCTTCTACATTGTAAGAGCGGGCTTAGCACAGAGACATGTCTAACGACCCACTGATATTTGGTTGTCCTGGCTTCTTTTTGGCACGTAACTCCTTTGTATTGCTTCATCTATGTGATCACGCTAATAACCACGGGAGGCAGGTATGGCCACCGTTTGGTTTTACAGATGAAGTGCCATACATGTCTTTGGGAGACTTTCAGAACTTCCAAAATCTTCCCCGAGGCTTGAGTTGCTCTGTTGCTGCCACCCATGGATCCTTATGTTCTTCTAGCGCCCCCTACAGTCTGTCAATGCCATTGAATCGCCCTGCTGGGTCATTGAGAAAGTTTTTCTTGAAAAGTGTTTTTCCCCTTTGTAACCCCAAACCTCTGGCCGTTTCCCCATCTGGGCCTTCCCCTCACAAGTTTGGACCCACCTTGTCTCTCCTTCCTTCACATAGCCATAGTTTAAACACATTTGCTTTTTGTGACTTTATCTTCAAGAAACGAGGACTTTAGAGAGGCTCAGCTAGAACATTACAGAGGTGGTCAAGCTTAAGACCCACAAGAATGAGTCTGGGTTTCCACCACCAGGGAACTCTTTGGAGTGCGATTAGGTTAAAGGTTCTCCAGGGAAGGTTCTATGTCCCCCCCCCCCCCCCCCCATGTCCCCTCACACGCTGGGATCAGGACCCTCAGAGCAGCGCCTCAGTCAATGGGGAGGGGGAGGCGGCTCTCGGCTCTGCCCAACACTGACCAAATGATATCTGAAGCAAATTCCAGATGGTCTTATTGTTTTATTCACAATGTTCAATATTGTCTCTAAAAGATAAGGATTCTTTTTCTTTAAAGCCGAGATACCCTATCACACCTAACATCATCATACTTAATATCCTCAAATATCTAGCCAGCGCACACGTTGCCCCGATTTTGCCTTAAGAATGTCATAATTTTTAGGGGCGCCTGGGTGGCTCAGTCAGTTGAGCGTCCGACTTCGGCTCAGGTCATGATCTCACGGTTGGTGAGTTCCAGCCCCGCGTCGGGCTCTGTGCTGACAGCTCAGAGCCTGGAGCCTGCCTCGGATTCTGTGTCTCCCTCTCTCTCTGCCCCTCCCCTGTTCATGCTCTGTCTCTCTCTCTCTCTCAAAAATAAATAAACATCAAAAAAAAATTTTTTTTTAAAAGAATGTCATATATATTTTAATTATGCTTTCTTCCTTACATTGATGTCTACATGCATATTGTATATCGTACGTGTGTCTATGCATATATAGTCACATCCCTCCCTCCTTTTCTCAGATGAATGTTACCACATTAACACACAGTCACACTTCCATCCACCTTGCTTCGTTCACGGTGCATCTCGCCCGCGATCTCGCCCGCAGGTGTCCGTCTGCATCGCCCCTGTGCTACTTCACAGCCAGACTCCTCCACTGGGCTGATGACCACAGTCCTCCGCCGACGGACATCTTCCTCGCCTCCTGTCTTTTGCCGTTACGAATAGAATCGCGGTAAACAGCCTTCTGCTTGCGTCTTTCAGGACACCTGCCAGAGTTGATTTACAGCCTTGGGATTCCTGAGTCACAGGCTCAATGCACGCAGT